TGGGGGATGGTGAGGGCATGTGCTGGGGATTGGATTTGGCCAGGGAGAGGTCAATGGGGGAAAAAGGAGACTTATGTAATATATTAAACAATAAAAAATTTTAATTAAAAAACAAAAGGATTCCTTTTGCATCAAGCTCCCCTCAAAAGAGCAGTGAATGAATAGTGTTTTTCATCTTGGAAATATCAAATATGAGCACAAATATTAGAATCAGTGAGGTTGGGGTCTTGTCTCTGTATAGTCTTGTTTCAAGGAGCTTAAAAAAATAAAACTAAAAATAAATAAATAAATAAATAAATACTACTGTTGCTCGGCCCGCATGGCCCATGGCTGAGTGTTGACCTGTGAATCAGGAAGTCGAGGTTCCATTCCTAGTCAGGGCACATGCCCAGGTTGCAGTCTGGAACCAAGGTGGAGAGGGCGGGGCGTGCAGGAGGAAGCCAATCAATGATTCTCTTTCATCATTGAAGTTTCTACCTCTTCCTTCTTCTCAGAAATCAATACAACATAGTTTAAAAAATAATACTGTTGAAAAATCCCTTATATTGCTCAGAGTCAGGATGGCACCATTTCTCAGCAAGCGCCAGTGTTCCCTCCAGCATTTGGATGGTTTGAAATTTATTTGAATAACACACGAAGCTCGCAAACCCAATCATCGCAGGCCCGGAAAGCTGAGTGTAGAAGCTCCCAGGAATCAAGGCCAAATGATTCTTTTTCTTTCACTCTCACTCTCCCTTTCTTTATCCGCTCCTCCCCACTCCTCCCCACCCCTTATCACCAAGGTTATGGAGTGAACTTCCTGCAAAGTTAGTTTGTGTGAAAAGAAGCTTAGCAGTGTGAGTAAGAGAACAGTCTATGTATCACACAGGGTTTGAACCCTGGCTCTGCCAATTGCTGGCTGTGTGTCTTCAGGCAAGTTACCTAAACTCTCTGAGCCTCAGTTTCCTCATCCACAAAGGGAGCATGACAAGTTGGAGATAGGCACCTCTTAGGATTGCTCTGAAGATTGAATGAGCTCTTATTTGTAAGTCATTTAGAGCATTTTCGGAAACAGGAAGTTCTATTCCAATGTTTGTTAAATTATAAAATAATTGGCTGTGTTTCCCCATTTTTTAAATGAAGAAATGTCAGTCTTCTTACTCAAGTCACCCATAAACTCTGTTTGATGCTTCAGACCTGGAGACCAGTTCTTCCTCCAGTGTTGCAAAACCCAGTTTCTCCACTGGCCAGGTACTCAGTTGGTTATAATGCAAAGGTTGTGGGTTGGATTCCTGGTCAGGGCACATACAAGAATCCACCAATGAATGCATACATAAGTGGAACAGCAAATCTCTTCTCTCTCTCTCTCTCTCTCTCTCTCTCTCTCTCTCTCTTCTCTCTCTCCCTCTCTCTCTCTCCCCTTCTCCCTCTCTCCCTTCCTCTCTCTAAAATCTATACAAGCAAACCAGGTTTCTGACTTTGAGCCTCATGTTGTGTCGTTTGCTGACCCTGAGGGTGGAGCCAGGAGACCTGACTTCTCTCCTTTTCTGTTCAATCCCTTTGTAGATCAGCATCCCCAGATCACACCTGTATTAAGTCAAAGACCACGGACCCAATGGTCATCTTCTTTACCAGCGGCACCACCGGCTTCCCCAAGATGGCAAAGCACAGCCATGGACTTTCCTTGCGACACTCCTTCCCTTCATGGTAAGAAAGAGGGCAGCAACTTAGACGCTGGGTCACAGTCTGGGGAAAGGGTGTGTGTGTGTGTGTGTGTGTGTGTGTGTGTGTGTGTGTGTGTGTGTTGGTAAAGGTGCTCTAAGTAGAACTGAGTCCATCCTGATTCTCCCTTCTGCTCTCTTTGGTTCAGACCACTGAGGGTCTCAGAGGTGAAGGTCTGGACTTCTAAGTGTGTGTTGACAGAAGCCTCCCAGTGACAAGGGAGTCCTGCCTGAGCACCTTCATAGGTGTGGAGGGAACGTGGGTGGAGGCAGCAGGCATTCTGCAAGCTGCACAAATGGCAAACCATGTGTCTTTGTCACTGGTTCCATCCAGGTTTGGTGGGAGGAGGACAGAAAGTTCTAGCTATGTGAAGTGAACAGATGCATAGGTGGAGTTTCCCAATCATGAGCCATTTGGGAAGAAGTAATACCTGGAACCAGGCCACTGCCTTTAACCTAAAATAAATAATTGTAGAGACTGAAGACATAGCCTTGGGTTAACCATGTAATCAATTTTAAACCAAACATCATTTCCCTCCTACTTCTTCCTCCCCAATTAATAATATTCAGACCAGACCAAGTTCTGTGGGGAAGTATGGGCCTTGGTTGGCAAGTCTGTAAGGAGGATTCTCCAAAAGATCGGGGGCATCTGGGGGACCTTCCCAAAGGAGTCAGCCCCTACCTTGACTTCCCAAAGGAGTCAGCCCCTACCTTGACTTTTCCAAAAAAGTCCGATCTCCTGGGTGTTTTGCTGGAATCTCTATGTTTATTCTTTAAGACCCAACCTTGAAGAAGCATTTTACCCTGCTGATTGTATCTAGAGGTTAATTTTAGTTAAAGCTGTTGTTACAATAAAAGGCTAACAGGGCAGGCAATCAGGACTGTTTGGGTTCCTAAAGCCAAACAAGCCCCTTAGCCTTCTCTTTCACAGATACATGTGTCAAAGTAATCTGTCCATCCATCTCTCAGGGTCTGGTGGTCAGCCCCGGCAAAGTTCTATATATTTTGTACCTTATTAACCAGACCAGTGGGCAGAGAAGGTGTCTTGTGGACACTGGGTATCTGTGCTAATGATATCACTTGATCAGCAAAACCCTGGAGGAATGGGGGTGGAAAGAAGGGGAGAGTTTTCTGTGAGGCCAGAATAACACAAGTCAAGGCACAAAGATATAAAAGGTAGTGTTCATAGCCCAGCTGGCATGGATCAGTGATTGAGCATTGACCTATGAACCAGGAGGCGATGGCTCAATGCCAGATCAGGGCACGTGCCCAGGTTTCGAGATCCATCCGTGGAGTAGGGCATGCAGGGGGCAGTCAATCAATGATTCTCTTCACCAGTGATGTTTCTATCTCTCTTTCCCAGTCCCTTCCTCTCTGAAATCAATAAAAAAAATATTTTTAAAAAGTAGCACTCATAGAACTACAGAGATTTGAGAGGAGCTGCTGCTGTGGGTGTCAGAGAGGCACAGATGGGAGGAGCTGAGAGAGTGAGTGGGGTCAGAGCACACAGGGTCGTGGGGACTTTGGTGTAGAGATTGAGCTTATTGGGAAAACAGTGGGCGGTATTGTAAGGTTGTTAACCAGGGAGAGACCTAATTCAATTTGTATTTTGAAAAGATCACTGTCCTATAGGGTGGAGAATGGCTTGGAAAAAGAGTAGATTTAGAAAGTCCTGTTAGAGGGTCTTAGAATAATTTAGGTGCAAGATGGTGGTGGCTTGGACAAGGTGCTGGGGACATGAAGAAGTTAAGAAGGCTGAGAATTTTGGAGCTAGAATTGGAGGGTGTGCTGGATAGATGTGGGAGGGAGGAGGAGCTGGAGAGTCAAGGTGGACTCCCAGGTTTTGAGCTTGGGCAGTAATGACATTCACTGAAACACAGAGAGCACTGGAGAAGAATTAGTCCCGGGAGGCAGGAGAGATTAGGATGCTCTGGGTTTGAGATGCCCGAGAGACGTCCCAGAAGAGATGCTCAGTGGGCAGTTGGGTCTGAAGCTCAGAACAGAGGTCCCTAGCGTGTAATTTCCTGTGGGTGTGCCACAGCCCTCAGAGAGATGGGAACAGGAAGTGTGAATGGCTCTCCAGGCCCCTCCCTACTAATAGATGAGCTCTTCAAAGCCATAGCTCCTCATGGGAGAGTTGAGTTTTTCTCAAGGAGTTATAAACACAGAGGTCCTTCAGAAGCAGTAAGAGTAAGGTGGAGAGATGCTTCAGACCTAGCTGAGTAGCCCCTGGATTCAATTTTCCATCTACCAGCTGTTTCTGTTATTTTAATTTTTTTGTTAATCCTCACTGGAGGACATACTCCCCCACCCCCCATTGATTATTATTATTTTTTATTATTTTTTTAATGACTGAAAGTGCAGGACTCAAACTTTCACATTTTAAAATTATATTTAACTAGAGGCCCGGTGCATGAAATTTGTGCATGGGATCAGGGAGGTATCCCTCAGCTCAGCCTGCACCCTCTCCAATCTGGGACTCCTCGGGATATGTCCCACTGCCAGGATCAAGCCTAAACCAGCAGTCAGACATCCCTCTCACAATCCGGGACCGCTGGCTCCTAACTACTTGCCTGCCTGCCAGCCTGATCCCTAACAGCTCTCCCCTGTCACCTGATCCTCCTAAATGCTCTCCCCTGACAGCCTGATCACCCGTAACCCCCTCAGCCTTGGCCCCCCCATCATGGCTTTGTTCAGATGGACTTCTGGTCTAATTAGCATATTACCCTTTTATTAGTATAGATTGGTTTCAGAGAGGAAAGAAGAGGGAAAAAGAGATAGAAATATCAATGATTAGAGATGGTGCCCACAACCCGGGCATGTGCCTTGACCGGGAATGCAACTGTGGTTACAAAGCTGAGGCCACTGTATTTTGGAGTCAGCAGGAAATTACTGCAGCTGAAGGCCTCTGATGTCTTCTGGTGCCTGTCAGATCCAGGCTGGATTTTGGCTATCATGGGGACCCTGTTTGAACCATGGACAGCAGGGTCTACAGTCTTCATCCACCATCTGCCCCAGTTTGACCCTAAGGTCATTGTAGAGGTAAGAGGATTAATCTCTCAGTGTCAATAAACTCCCAGAGAAACTCATATTTCAGGCTCAAAAGCTGACCCCTGCTGAGAATAGTGTATGTAACAAAGAAGCCCATTAGGGTGATAGAACCTGGGTTCTGGGGGTACTCAAATGTGGGACACTGAATCAGTCGGTGAGTCTCTCAGAATACACATTTTGAGAAATTAAAGCAACCAGAACAATCTCAGGTCTCCTGGCTCCTCCAGGGCTGGGTAGCTGGTGTGTGCGTGTGAATTTATTGAAGTGTTTCAAACCAGAGCCCTTGGAATAGGATAGTTATAGTTCCTTTTCACACCTTTAACATTTATTAGTGGTAACCTTAGCTCTCTGACTCAGTCTCCTCACCTGTAAGATGGGAGTTTTAACAATTACTACCTCGTAAAATTGTTGGGAATAATGAGATGATACAGGTAAAGTGTGTAAAGTGCTTAGCCCTGAGGCCTGCACCTGAAAACACTCAGGAACTGGTAACAGTTGCTATTATTGTCATGAGCACATCCTGAATAAATGTGCTCTCCTAGAAGGGAAATCAGAATTAAAATGGAAATAATTTAAAAAATAGAGTTACCACCACCAACAACAAAAGAATGGTAATAATTGGCCAGTGTTTTTCATCTTAACTATAAATATAAAATTTTCTCTGCTCACTTTTTAGACACTCTTTAAATACCCCATCACCCAGTGCATTGCTGCGCCCTCTGTATATCGAATGATTCTGCAAGAGAATTTTGGCAGGTATGTAGAAGTGGCCTTTTGTATTCACAATCTTTGTGTAGGATTTTAAGGATTCTATTTCACTGTGGTCTTGTCGGTGGGGAACAGGCTCTTCCACGGGGTTGGGAGGAAAGAGTCCCAAGGATCCACAGACAGGAGACTGCGATGTGGCGATGTGGTTTATTTGTTAGGTAACATCAATAGAGTTCTCCTCCCGGCTTCCCAATGCCCCATCTCTCTGGGCCCTGCCCTGGAAAAAGTCCAGTCTCCTCTTCAACAGGCCAAGGCAAAGGCCAATGCCCGGAGGTTCTGCTTCATGATCCTTCCTGTGGCCTCCAGACCTGGACGGTCCTTTGCTCCTGGGCGGGAGGGGACAGGAACAAATTGGGCCACTGGGTTCCCAGGCAAGAGAGAGAGCCAGCATTACCCCCCGGGTCTCAACCAGGAGCTTTTTTAAAACAACCCACTAACTTCCCAAGATTCCAGGGGCATGCACTGGGCCCACCCCTAGCCAACGATCTTTCCCCAGGTTAGACTGACAGCCTCTGTGGTCCCACACCTCCCCCTGCGCCATTTTGACTTTACTGGGAAGTTCCTGACCTCCCCCGTGCCCCCTCCCACACACAATCCCAACCTAGAGGGGGGAGGGAGGGTGTTAATCCCCTTGGGGGGACTGTGCTGCCATTTCTTGGGTGTGAAACTGGAGCTTCCTGGTGAAGCAAACAGGCCTCTGCTTCCCAGCTGCCTGTGTTCAACATTGTCAGCCTCTCCACTGGCTCTGTTTCTTTCAATCACCAGCCAAGGATGGTAACAGTCTGACTGTTTTAACTCTGGTTCTTTGGGGACAGTGAGAGCTAGTGTGGGGTGTGTGTGTGTGTGTGAAATGCTGGTAGCGATAATTATCAGCCAGTCTAATTAATCAATTAAGCAAGACTCAGATCCAAATGAAACAGTGAGCCTTGCATCATTATGACCTTTTTTCTTTTTTAAACGTTTTAATTGTGAAATAACAAGCACACAGAAAAATACAAAAGACAACAATTTGTAGATTAAGAAATTGTTGAAAATTATACCAATATGTAACCACTCAAATCACAATAAGAGAACATCGCCAGTCCTGTGACCTACTCAGACCCCTCCAACTCCCTACAGGGAGTCACTATCTTGACTTTTACGGTGTTCAGTCATTTGTGTGTTTTTTTCTTTTTTTCCCCTTGTAGTTTCCCTCCTAAGGAAATATTAGTCTCTTTTACTTGCTTGTGCGCTTTGTAATCATATTATTCTGTAATGTCTGGCTTCTTTTTACAACGTTATATTTCTAAGATTTGCCCATGTTGCATCATGTTGCTGTAGCTAACTTTTATTGCTGTATAATATCTCATTTTATAAAAAGTCCATATTTTCTTCATTCTGTTCTACCACTAATGGACATCTGGGTGGTTTTCATTCGAGGGCTGCTGATGACTAACACTGTTCTTGCACATTCACCCTGTGCACATCAGCACTCATTTGTGTGGGGGTCTTTCTAGGAGAAATTGCTGAGTCACAGTGACACTGCATCCTACTACCTATTTTCCAAAGTATCCCATCATCCTGTGCGCCCAGCAGCAGGGAGGCAGGATTCCCTCATTTGTTCTTGTCAGAGTCTTTAATTTTTACCAATCTGATGGTTGTAGTGTCATTTTGCTATAGTTTTATTTTTGTATTTTCCTGTGTTTGTAGATTAATTTTGAGCTAATCTTGTCTTTGAATCTAATGGGCACTTATGTATATTTTAGAGACTCTAAAATGGGAATGGCTGCTTCAAAAATCAGACCTAATAACTTTTAGACACAGAGTTAAAATGTCAAGGAGTTGAACAACTAGCCTTATGAAGCTAACTCTGAAATACAACTTGCTTTTATTCACTTAGCCTCAATCCCAGCATGCCCTTGGAGTCTGCCTCGATCTGTATTTCAAAGCTCATATGACAGCCACTCTTTGCAACATTCCTCAGATGATGAACTTGGTCCAAACCCAGTAAAAAACCAATCAGGGCATCACTAATGACTCCACTGGAGCCTCTGCTAATTTTACCTATTTTGGCGAAAGCTCAAGATGAGTGAGGAAGACACCCCTAATGAAACCAGCCCCGTGTCCACCACTCCTGACTCTGTGTCCCAGGAGAGGTGTTGGGGAGGGGGGTGAGAGGGAGGGGAGAGAGCCAGATGTCTACCCTGAAGCTCTGTCTCCCCCAAGCCTCAGGTTCCCCACTCTGGAGCATTGCACTGCTGGCGGGGAGGCCGTGCTGCCCGAGGAGCAAGAGAAGTGGAGACAACGGACAGGCCTTCTGGTCCACCAGGTCTACGGACAGTCAGAAACGGTAGGTGGATGGGCCCCTCTGGGCCATGCAGCCCAGCAGAGGAGCTGAATCTGCCAAAGCGTGTGCACAGGCCCCACTGTGCGCACAGCCAGCAGAGGGGCAGCTCTGGAGTTCTAGGCTAATTGGCCCCAAAAGTTTGCAGAGAGACGATTCACACACAGTCTTTGACTTGTCAAGACCTCAGTGTGCTGACGACGATTGGAGAAAACTTCCCAAAGGGTCTGAGGACAGGGACTGGGTCCCTGGGATCAGGGGAGCCGGGAGGAGCGATGGCAATGGAGGCGCCTCCTGCCTCACGGAGGCCCCGCCGGAGAGTGCTGCCCACGTCACCCTCCCTCCCTAAGCAGCAGCCACAGGGCCAGGCAGGAGCTGGGCTCTGAAGCTCACCTCTGGGTGTATGAGGGCAGCACACAGGTTTGATTGTGGGGCACGAGCAGGAGGGGAGGAGGGAGCACAGGCATCTCACAAACACACACACACACACACTGTCACCCCCAAGGTGTCACTGAGCACGCAGTGGGCAGGCCGTGGAGTCTGCTGTGCTGGCATCTTCAACCCCCTGATGCGTAGGGCAGGCTCTTTTGGTCCTAATTCACATATTTGTCTGACGGTCTGTTGTTGTTTTTTTAAAAAAATGTTTTATTTTAGTCAGTTAAGTGGTCTGATTCCAGGCCTGAGAAATGTGAGGGCTCGAGGCCTGACCTTGCATGGCTGCCAGTTCACTTTTGGAAAAGAGAAGCACAGGCTACACCCATAACGCCAGTCCCTTGGCAACGACTGTTTGAAGCCACAGAATACTCCCTCCTCGCTGCCCGGAGCCTCATTTCCCAAAGCCCTTGCAACCTGCTCGCTCACCTGTGGGCGATTCCGTGTCCTGAAGTGTGAGCAGCAGCTTGGAGAGGGAGGCCTTCCTCTCCCAGGAGCTCAGGTGTCAGTTCCTCTGAGCATCGCCCATGGCAGCTTCAAGCCCATGGGCATAGGTGGGACCGCCAGAAGCTGGGCTTCCCAGTGTCCAAACTGGGAGCAGAATGCTGACCCTGCGGGTGGTGGCGAGGGGAGGGGAAGGGGTGTGTTCACCCCCAGGCTGTGCCCAGCCTGCACATCCCCCAGGGCCGGCCCCCTGTCCTCACTGATGTGGGGGGTCGTGCACCAGGTGTCAGGGGTGCAGAGCCCAAGGGGCCGTCTCCATGCTCAGACGCTTGTTTTCTATGGAGGGAAACACCCACAAAAGTCAGTACAATGCCCTGTTGGCGACAACAGAAATGGGGGGAAAGTACCACCGAAGGAGGGTCACCCAGGCCTTCTCCTGGGGCCTGAGTCTGGCTGGTTGCCCTGAGGAGCCAGGTGAGCTCATGGGTGTGGCCTGTGCAGCTTCCCCCACAGGCTCTGAGAGGGGGTGCCGGCCCGACCCCTCTGACAGAGGAGACCCATGGCATCACCTCATCTTCTGATTGTGAAGGCTTCCCTCTAGGACAGATGTAGCTTCAGAGAACCAGGAAGGAGGCAGAGGTCACCAGGAGGGCAATGGGGTGGGAGGGTTGGCAGAGGAGCAACCTAAGTGATTTCAGCACAGCCCCGAGGGCAGATGGGGCAGGGATCCTGTCAGCTGCAGTCTTGAGTAAGTGTTGGTCAAATGGACACAAGCCTGGCCTGCAGCGGGCACTCCCCCACCCACAACCCGCCCACAGCCCCGTGCTCAGCCCTTTGCTCCTTTCTTGGCCTCCCCCCCCACGGGACCCTGTGGCCGAGGATGCAGAGCTCCCAGCTCCCCACAGGCTCTGTGAGCAGCGACACATGACCCCTGGGAGCAGGTGTGCTGTGTGTGGTTCTTGCTGCTCTGTGATCCGCCTGCACCCTTTGACCACTGGTATTCTCTTCCTTTTGTGCACAGGGATTCACATGCGCCACCCTCCGGGGATCACAGGTCAAGCCTGGTTCCATGGGGAAAGCCATCCCACCCTTCGATGTCCAGGTTTGGTGCTAAAGGCGGGGCCAGGGAGCACTGAGGGCTCAGCTGGGAACAGACCCCGTGTGACACCAGGCGGCAGAAGCAGCCGTGCCCCCTGCCCGCGGTGTCCTTCCTCCTCTCCTCCGAGTTCCCTCTGATTTCCTGGGAGGTTTCAGTACTCCCAGCCGAGGCCGCACACAGCCGTGGCACACGGGACCTGGAGGAGCGCCGGCAGCTCTGTCCTCCCGCCGGGGCTTTTAGCTTGTCCTGACCCTGTTTTGTAGCTTGAAGACACATGCGACGTCCACGTACCAGGAAACAAACACACCCATGACTTGCTGATTTCAAAGACTTGACAGCTTCGCCCTGTTTTCTGCCAGGGACCTCCCCATGGTCCCCACTGGTGTCACACGCATAAGCCAGGCAGAGCTTGGGTGGGCAGGAGTGCTGGGAGCCCTGCAGGGGGACTCACAGACCTCTTGCTCCAGATCATCGACGACGACGAGGGCAACATCCTGCCGCCCAACACTGAGGGCAACCTTGGCATCAGGATCAAGCCCACCAAGCCCATCGGCCTGTTCATGTTGTATGAGGTGAGGGCGCCCTGCCTGCCGCTCCCTGTCCCAGGCACCCCTGCAGCGAGAAGGGAGGGGACTCAACTCTGCATCCTGAGACTCCTCCCATCTCCGTTATGTGCTCCAGTTCAGTGAAGCCAGGTCTAGTTCCCCCAAAGCTCACAGCCTTTCCTCTCCTAACCCATGTGACTGATGGGGTAGGGAAGCCTGGCTTCGGGATCATCGGACTTGGGGCTGATGATTAAGAATGCCGGCTTCGGCTGGGTTCACATGCTACCATCCAGTTTCCCAACAGGGTGGAAACAAACCTAGTCACTGTCCTGAGCCTCCTGAGGCCTCCCCTCCCCCACTTCTCAGACACACCGCCTGCAGACCTTAGGAGTCATGTGTTTCCCCGTGACAAATAAACGGCAGATCTAAGATTCAAACCCATGTCTTTCAGCCCCAAAGCCTAATGGGAAATCCAGGGATTATAGAACCTGTGATGGGCTCTAAGGAAACTGCCCAGATAACCCCTAGCCCTCCCAGGGTAGTAGAGGCCACTCAGGAAACTCTCAGCTTCCACGATGGGCCCTGGAAGGGTGGGCACACCTGAAATTGATCTCAGATTCCACCTCCTTTCTCCCAAAGAACAGCCATCAGAGGCTCTCTCTCTTGGAGTCACTGTTGTCATCACTCTGGCCTCCAGGGGACGCTGCTCCTCATGTGATACTATCAACCAACAGTAAAAAACGCTGGCTAAACCATTCTTTGATTTTGTTTATCTTTTCAAAGAACCAGCTCTGGGTTTCATTGATTTTTTGTATTGGTATTTTTTTTCCATCTCAATGTCATTAGCTTCTGCTCTAATCTTATTTCCTTCCTTCTACTTACTCTGGGCTTTTCTTGTTGTCCACTTTGTAGTTCTTTAAGTTGGAGGGTTAAATAATTTATTGTTAATTTTTCTTGTTTTTTGAGGTATGCCTGTAGTGCTATGAACTTCCCTCTCAGGACTGCTTTTGCTGTGGCCCAGAGATTTTGAGTTGTGTGTTTATTTTCATTTGTTTCCAAAAAGGCTTTAGTCTTTATTTTTTAAATACATTTTATTGATTTTTTACAGAGAGGAAGGGAGAGGGATAGAGATTTAGAAACATCGATGAGAGAGAAACATCGATCAGCTGCCTCCTGCACACCTCCTACTGGGGATGTGCCCGCAACCAAGGTACATGCCCTTGACAGGAATCGAACCTGGGACCCTTCAGTCCGCAGGCCAACGCTCTATCCACTGAGCCAAACCAGTTAGGGCTATTATTTATTTCTTGATGTTGTCGGTAACCCATACTTTGTTCAATAACATGCCATTGAGCCTCCATGTGTTTGAATGTTGTTGGGGGGCTTTTACTGTAGTTGATTTCTAATTTCATTCCACTGTGATCTGAGAAGATGCTTGATATGATTTCTATCTTCTTGAACTTGTAGAGACTTGTTTTGTGTCCTAACATGTGGTCTATCTTTGTGAATGATCCATGTGCACTTGAGTAGAATGTATATTCTGCTGCCTTGGGGTGAAATGTTCTATAAATGTCAGTTAAATCCATCTGATCCAGTGTGTCCTTTAGAGTCACTGTTTCCTTGTCACGTTTTTGTCTGGAAGATCCAGTGAAGTCAGCAGGGTGTTAAAGTCCCCTGCTATGACTGCATTGTTGTCAATCTCTCCGTTAAAGTCCTCTAGCAGTTTTTGGAATATATTTAGGTGGTCCTATATTGGGTGTATATATGTTTACCAGGGTTCTATCTTCTTGTTGGATCCATCGCTTTAGTATTATGTACTAAAGTGATCTTTGTTGTCTTTTGTGATGGCCTTCATTTTTAACTCTATTTTTTCGGATATGAGTATTGCTACTCCTGCTTTTTGTTCCTTTCCATTTGCATGGAAAACATTCTTTTCGATTCCTTCACTCTCATCCTGTGCATGTCTTTTGTTCTGAGGTTGGCTCATATTTTTGTATCCATTCAGTTATCCTATGCCTTTTGATTGGACCATTTAATCCATTTACATTTAGGGTTATGGATAGGTACTTATTTGTTGCCATTTTAATTCTGTATGTGTAGGTTTCTCTCTCTGTTTCTCCTTCTCATTACAGCAGTGCCTATCGCATTTCTTGTAATGCTGGTTTGGCGGTGATGTATTCCTTTGGCCTTTTTTTATTTCTTTTTGTCTGGGAAGCTCTTTATTTGACTGTCTATTTTGAATGATAGCCTTGCTGGTTATAGTGATCTTGGTTTCAGATCCTTGCTTTCATTACCTTGAGTACTTCATGCCATTCCCTTCTGGCCTATAGATTTTCTGATGAGAAGTCAGGTGTCAGCCTTATGGGAGCTCCTTTGTAGGTAACAGTTTGCTTTCCTCTCGCTGCCTTTAAGATTCTCTCTTGGTTTTCAATTTTTGGCATTTTAATTATGATATGTCAGGGCACAGTCCTGTTTGGGTTCTTCTACTTGGGGTTCTATGTGCCTTCTGAACTTATGTGACTTTTTCCTCCACCTGGTTAGAGAAGTCTGCCATTATTTCATCAAACATTGACCAGCTAGATACTGCACGGCCCATACTAGGGACTGAGCCGACAACCTGGGCATGTGCCCTGACCAGAAAGTGAACTGGCAACCTTTCGGTATATGGGATGACGCTCAACCAACTGACCCACACAGGCCAGGGCCACAATCTTTCTTGGTGGATGAGATGAGATAGCACTTAGGGAAGAAAATTCATTTAGCAAATGTTTATTGACACCTTTCATCTATTCAGCTACTGTGTTATATTAATATCAATTGTATTATACTAATATCAGTTGTCAATGTGTTCTGTGCATTAATTGACCAGTAGCATGCACTGAGTGTTTGCATGTAAAGCAAATAGACTCAGAGAGATTTACAAAAGTTGCACAGGTGCCTGGCGGAATGAGAGGCAGGATTCAAACGCAGATCTGAGACCCAGGTTGCAGCTCAACACCTCTAATCTCACTGCCTTTAACAAGAGCGACGTTCTCTTTGCAGAATGACCCAGTGAAGACAGCCAAAGTGGAGTGTGGGGACTTTTACAACACTGGGGACAAAGCAACTATAGATGAAGAGGGCTACATCTGGTTCCTGGGGAGGGACGATGACATCATCAACGCCTCTGGGTAGGTGTGGCTGACCTGGGGCCTGGCAGGCTCTAGCTTGCTTCACCATTCCTCCATGCACTGGGGATGGGACCCTCAGGCTATACCTGTTGCAGCCATGTCTACAGGGCCCTGGCCCGGGGGTATCTGTGCATCTCCCCTAACATCAAAATAAAGTTCAAGAAGGCCTGGAAGTGCAACCACAGTAGACACTGTGAAATTTAAAGAGGGGATATAGGATTGGAAAGGGAGACTTATGTAGCCCCTATCTGTCCCCATTGGTTGGGGGAAATTATTCTCTGTGTTCCTCTAATTAATTGAATGGGACACATATCACAGAACAACAACAAAAACAACAGCAGATAAGCTTATGGAGTACTTACTGTGTGAAAGTCCACTCCTCTGTGCTTTGCCTAACCCAGTAGATGCCATTAGTTGTGCCTATTTTATAGATGGGAACAAGGAGTCACTGCTAAGTGAACTAAGTTGCTGAAAGTTTCCATGGTTGTACAGGGTGAAGCCCAGATTTGAACCGAGGCAGTGTGGCTCCCCATCTGTTGTCCGCTTAGGTGATGTAGGGAGAAAAAGTGACACAGTAACAACTTCCCTTGGATGCATCAGGGAAATTAAGTTGCTTTACTTTTTAAATTTCTAAATGAGATGCTGATGTAGTGAGACAGAATTTCCCTAAACGTTTAAGACCAAGTCTGAGGCTCCCAAGAGTACAGTAAGAGTCCTGCTGGGAAGCTCCTGGTGCCACGCCCACAGCCTCAGGAGGACAGCCTTCCACCCCCACCCGCCCACCAGAGGCAGTGAGGGGAGACTTGGGAGCATCTGAGCCTGGAATGCCCAGGTCTCCACATCCTGGTCCCATTGCGGAGCCTTTTCACAGGCCTCTGGCTCTCGTGAAGGTTGCCCTCTGTGCCCAGGGAAGCTGTGACTCCCAAACATGGGATTGGAGGGCCTGGGTCACTTCAGCCCTGGCATCTGCTCAGACCCAGAGCAGGAACCCTTGGTCCCACAGGTACCGCATTGGGCCGGCAGAGGTGGAGAGCGCCCTGGCTGAGCATCCGGCGGTGGCTGAGTCAGCTGTGGTGAGCAGCCCGGACCCGATCCGAGGGCAGGTGAGGAGCAGGACAGGAGGTCACGGGGTCTGCGTGTGGGCACTGGAAGGCTGGTGCAGGGAAACTTCCAGAGCAGTTGGTGTGCGCAGCACACTTACACCGTGTGGGCATCAGGAGGCACTGTGGCATCACCCGTGACATCCTGACTAGCTATTGGGTGAGCTTACTCATTTAGCCCTCACAAAAACCTATTGAGTTAGAGACTCTTCCTTATTATACCCTTTTAATAGACAAAGAGACAGCATAAAGAAGTTAAATAACTTGCCCAGATTGCACTGTGGTGGAGCCAGGATGGAAATCTGAGCACTCTGTTTCCAATGCATTCATTGGGTTTATTGAGCACCTACTCTGTACAAGCCCCGTGCAATTAAATGGGGACATAAATAACAATATAAAAGCAATAAGTTCAGCCCAGCCTGTGTGGCTCAGTGGTTGAGTGTCGACCCAGGAACCAGGTGTGATTCCTGTCTGGACTAATGCCAGGTTGCGGGCTAGATCCCCAGCTGGGGGCCTGCAGGAGGAAGCAGGGTGATGATTCTCTCCCATCATTGATGTTTCTATCTCTCCCCCTCCTTTCCTCTCTGAAATCAATAAAAACATTTTAAAAAAAATAAAATAGAATCAACAACTACTTAAAAAATAAAAAGAGTAAGACCAATAAGTTACCAACAATTATTAAATGCCCACAAGGTTCCAGGCACAGAACTGTACATACATTAGTGGTAAAAATGATGATGAAAACAATGATGCTGGGGGTAATAATAAAGTTACACTGGGTGCGTGTTTTATGTGTATCATCTCATGGAATCTGAACATCAGGCCACCATGTCCAGCTCCCTGGGATGAACCTGTACTCTGCACAGGTCACAGAGAAGGAATTTGAGGTTAAGTGATTTTGCAAGGGAAAGAGGAGAAAATGGAAGTATTTGGGTTTGAACCTGGCCTTGTCCTTTTCCAAAGGCTCAGGTGTCAGCTTGCGTTGCCATTCATTGCATAAACACTTTTTAAACCAGGCAACTGGGTGGCACTCACCCTGAGCCCCGGCTCTGGTTCTGCGTTGCAGGTGGTGAAGGCCTTCATTGTCCGGACCCCACAGTTTCTGTCCCATGACCCGGACCAGCTCGCCAAGGAGCTGCAGGAGCACGTGAAGGCAGTGACAGCCCCGTACAAGTACCCGAGGAAGGTGAGTGGGGCCGATGCTCGCGCCCTCCCGAGCTCTGCTGCCCCCAGTCTGGTCGGGCGGCCGGGAGACGCTGAAACCGCACACAGAACGAGCATTTTCTCTGCAGAACAAGCAATTCGGCGTAGGGGTGGATGCAGCCAACTGAGTGGGATGGAACCTCTATTCTGGGTCGGACTCTGGGTCGGACCCACATCCCAAAACGTGCTGCACATTACCCTGAGGGCAAAAAATATCAGACCGGTGCCCAAAGCTATCCAAGGAGGCTATTTAACATCCTTCAAAATTTGAAAAAAGACATCCAAACCAGCCGCTTTCTAACTATTCCTAAGCATGATTCAAACTAAGAAATACATTCTATTGCACTCAATACTTACTTATGTACACAACAAACGAGTGTTAACAAAATTATATTTATCCTTAAAACATGTCGTCCATTCTTGTACTTTTTATTCTACTGCATTGGTTTTTCTGTTTACAGATTTATTTATTGTCAATCTTCACCTGAGGATATTTTTCCCATTGATTTTTAGAGAGCGTGGAATGAGGGGAGGGAGGGAGAGAGGACAAAAGAAAGAGAGAGAGAGAGAGAGAAACATTGACGTAGAGAGACACATCAATTGGTTGCCTCCTGTACTAGAGCCAGGGATGGAAACTGCAATCCAGGTACATGCCCTGAACCTGAAATCAAACCTGAGACCCTTCGTTGTGTGGGCCGACGCTCCGACCCCTGAGAAACACTGGCCAGGGCTGCATTTGTCCAATAGAGAAGTTATAAAATTATTTGTGAAATGTAATATTACCTGGTAATTTTAAATGATGTAGGTTTTTTAATTTTTAATATAAAGGTACCACAATATATTGTTAAGACAAAAAGCAGGCTATGAGAGAATATACATAATATTATTGTATTTGTTTAAAAACATAGTTTGAAAGGATACGGATGCCAACAGCTAACATTTCCTACATTGTCTGAATGTTTATAGTCAGTGCATCTTGTAAAGCTGTGTAGTTAACAGTTACTGAATATTTAGTTCATGTGCCAGGCCCTGGATTCAATGCTTCACGTGCATTATTATTTCATTTCATCCTCTCCGCAGCCTGAGATGGTCTAACCATGTATTTTACGGAGTTGAAATTGAGGCTCAGAGAATAGAGTTAATACAGGCAGAGCTGGACCTCCAACCACGTGTCTCCAACAGCAGCAGCGTTCTTGCTTTTGATGTCAGACTCTGCTGCCTCCTAGAGATAGAACAGGGATGTGTACCAGTTAGGACGGGCTATGTTACTGTAACAATCAGCCCCAAAGCCATGTGGCTTATTCTAGGGAAGGCAGCTGCCATGCTCATGCCCCATGCCCACCCTGGTCTCCTGGGACCAGGTAGAGAAGCAGCCACCAGGCAGGGACTTGCCAGGTGCAGTCAGAGAGGGACAGAGAGGGTGGCCAGGCTCAGAGGTTCCGACTTTCCTGTGAGAGGTGGCACGCTTCACTCCCCCACATTTCATTGGTCAGAGCATGTCACAGGGCTGCAGCCAGCTTCAGGAGGTCAGGAGGAGGACCTGACATACTTGGCCCCCACCATTGAGGCCACCACCGGCTGCAGCCTGTTTGAGGGACATGCAGGGTGAAGGGAGGAGTGGGGACTGGTAGGAAGTGACAGCAGGACTCAGGATGGTTTGCTTTCTCCTCACCCAGGTGGAGTTTGTCCCCGAGCTGCCCAAAACACTACTGGCAAGATCAAAAGGAGTGAACTTCGGGAAAAGGAGTTTGGTCAGATGCAACGGCAGTAAATTCAGCATCCCTTCTGGGTGTGACCTTGGGCACACCCTGGCTGCCTCGGTGCCCCCACATGGCGGGGCGAGGGGGGCTGTTGAGGGCTGATGGGGAAGGGCCCAGGACGGCCAGCATTCCCGCATTTCTGTCCTTTTAAGTGAACATCAGTCACTACCCAGCCTCCAAGGCCCTTGTTCCTTTGGATGCCCAGGCGGGCGCTCAGATCGGGGCTGAAGATAATAAAGTGCTGACATTGACATCAGGGTGCTCCTGCGTTGTGCCTTCATCATGTACATGAACCTGTGCTGAATGCGGTCCCTCCTTGCTCCCCTCCCCCTGGAGAGAGCACAGGGCCTGATTTTCACTCCTGTTGCCTCCCGCACACACCCCCCAGTGTTCCCAGGTGGCCCTGCACGTCCAGTCGATGTCCAGGGCCCAGAGTTCTGGGAGTGATGCTCTGAGCAGCCCAGGCACCTGCCTCAGCTGGGTCCCAGCCTAGGCCCGGGGTGGGCAAGGGAGTGACCAGCTCTCCAGGGACCGGGTTCCACAGGACTCTCCCAGCTTCTCCAGAGGTGCCCCATCCCTCATTCCTAGGAGGGCCCAGGGGCCTAGAGGTCTTAACCCTCAGCTTACCCCATGTGCACCCACCCACGCATTCCTTCTCAGGGATCCAGGATCTTCAATGCCCTTCTCCCAGGGCCAGAGTCCTCCCTAAAAACTCCCCTCCACACTCTTTCAGTTCTTTCTGTCACCAGAGTCTTCCCCACCTTCTCCCCAAACCTGGGCATGGGGTTCTATGAACTGACCCTTCACTTCATCCATCCTTCAGATGGGACCCCCAGGTGCACATCACAGGCTGGGAGCAGCAGGGGCAGAAGGGGCTCAGCCTGGGGTGGGGAAGGAGCACATATTGTCTCCTTCTCCCTCACTCCTGGGAGTCACTCTTAGGGAGATCCCCTCTAAAGCTGCTGTTTCCCCAGGGGCACAGACACACAAACTCACAGGGAAATATACAGACACAACAAGACAGAGACAGCCAGACACAGACACCCCAAGGCCCACCTGGGCACTCAGGTGCAGGGATCATGGCCAGACTCACACAGACTCACACTGTAAACATGGGCAACAGCACCTTGGGGAGAACACACACACACACACACACACACACACACAGATACAAACACTCAGGGCCGCCTGAGACAGCCGCAAAGGGCGCGCGCATGCGCGCGCGCACACACACACACACCAGCACAAACATACTTGGAAACAGAACACAGACATAAAGAGGAACACAAATACACAGATACAATCAGGAACATCCAAAGGGGCAGCAAATTCACACACACACACACACACACACACACACACACACACAAAACAAACACTTCCAAAATACTAAGTCATATTAATTCAATACATTAAGAATTAAGGTACTGAAGATGGCAGCATAGGTAAACACCGGAGTTTGCTGCCTCGCACAACCACTTCAAAAATACAACTAAAAGACGGAATGGACATCATCCAGAACCACAGGAAGGCTGGCTGAGTGGAAATTCTACAACTAGAAGGAAAGAGAAAAGCATACCGAGACTCAGAGGAGGTGCGGTGCGGAAGAAAATACTAAGATACAGAGGCGCACACGGAGCGGGCTGGTGGCTGAGGGCGCGGTTGTCTTTTTCAATCAGGAGAGAGTCTCAGGCTCTGAGCTCCAGTTCCGGGCGAGTCTTTGGAGACCCAGACTCATACGGGAGAAGCAGGACTGCCTGGCATTGGTCAGAACTCGAAGGCAGCTTTCTCTCAGAGGTGCTTGCAGCGATTACTGGGACACTGAGAAGCAGGGCCTCTGAGGGCAGGACTGAGAGCAGCCATAACTGCTCACTCCACCCTGTTGATCCCATGGTACCTGCCGCAACCAAGCCCTACAGGGAGGCTTTTGCTGGATAGCCTCAGGCAAAGGCTAGATTAGCACCTCCCTAGAGATCCAGGAGCCAGGAAGCCCAGAGGTCAGAGTGGGACCATCCAGTTTGCAGCTTCTCGGACCCTTAAAGGACACACTCAGGGGGCAGACCCAGTGAGCACCAAAGCCCCACTGAAGCAAGTCTTGCCCTGGAGGAGTGTCTCCAGCACAGAAGTTCTCCCACTGCAGACACAGCTTATTCTCACAGCCAATTCGCCTGAAGGTCATTCCCTCCCAGTGTTAACTACAACAATCAAGGCTTAACTACAACAAGACTGTGCACAAAGCCCACAAAGAGGTGCACCAAGAGTGTCCACCTCAGGTAATTGGGGAGGCTGAACCACTGGGCCCTAGAGGACACTTAGCACAGAAAACCACTTTATCAACACAGGGAAGCATAAAAAATGTGGAGACAAAGAAACAGGACACAACTGACAGAAATGGAGGAAAGCAAACTACTGGATATAGAGTTCAAAACCACACTTTTAAGGTTTTTCAAGAACATTCTAGAAGCTGCCGATAAATTTAGTAAGACCCTCAAAAAGACTGGTGAGACCGCCAATAAATGTAGTGAGATCCTCAAGAAATCTAGACAGACCCTCGATGTTATGATAAAGGACCAACTGGAAATGAAGCATACACTGACTGAAATAAAGAATATTATACAGACTCCCAACAGCAGACTAGAGGATCACAAGAATCAAGTCAACGATTTGAAATACGAAGAAGCAAAAAACACCCAACCAGAAAAGCAAAATGAAAAAAAGAATCCAAAAATACGAAGATAGTGTAAGGAGCCTCTGGGACAGCTTCAAGCGTACCAACATGCGAATTATAGGGGTGCCAGAAGATGAGAGAGATCAAGATATTGAAAACCTATTTGAAGAAATAATGACAGAAAACTTCCCCTACCTGGTGAAAGAAATAGACTTACAAGTCCAGGAAGCGCAGAGAACCCCTAACAAAAGGAATCCAAAGAGGACCACACCAAGACACATCATCATTAAAATGCCAAGAGCAAAAGACAAAGAGAGAATCTTAAAAGCAGCAAGAGAAATAAAGTCAGTTACCTACAAGGGAGTACCCATACGACTGTCAGCTGATTTCTCAACAGAAACCATGCAAGCCAGAAGAGAGTGGCAAGAAATATTCAAAGTGATGAATGCCAAGAACCTACAACCAAGATTACTTTATCCAGCAAAGCTATCATTCAGAATTGAAGGTCAGGTAAAGAGCTTCACAGATAAGGAAAAGCTAAAGGAGTTCATCACCACCAAATCAGTATTATATGAAATGCTGAAAGGTATCCTTTAAGAAGAGGAAGAAGAAGAAAAAGGTAAAGATACAAATTATGAACAACAAATACACATCTATCAATAAGTGAATCTGAAAATCAAGTGAATAATCTGATGAACAGAATGAACTGGTGATTATCATAGAATCAGGAGCATAGAAAGGGAGTGGACTATTCTTGGGGGGAAAAGGGGTGAGGGAGATGCGGGCAGAGACTGAACAAAAATCGTGCACCTATGGATGAGGACAGTGAGGGAGTGAGGGCGGAGGGTGGGGTGGGAACTGGGTGGAGGGGAGTTATGGGGGGGGGGAAGAGGAACAAATGTAATAATCTGCACAATAAAGATTTAAATTAAAAAAAAAAAAGAATTAAGGTACTGCCCGGCAGGTGTGGCTCAGTGGCTGAGCATCAACCTTGGAACCAGGAAGTCAGCGTTTGATTCCTGGTCAGGGCACATGCTTCCTGGTCAGGGCACATGCCCAGGTTTCAGGTTCATTCCTCAGTAGGGTATGTGCAGGAGGCTGCTGATCAATGATTCTCTCTCATCATGGATGTTTTTATCTCCCTCTCCCTTCCTCTCTGAAATCAATAAAAATATATCTTTTTTAAAAGGAGCAGGAAAACACTTTCAGGTGTGATTACTACCTTAATGTGCTGATGGCTTCTTTGATGCACACATATGTCAAATATCAACAAGCTTTATTCATGAAAAAGGTGCTATTACACATAAATTATATTACAGTTAAGCTATAGGGAAAAAAATCTGATACAAAAACTCGTAAGGATTTTATGTTGTTGACAAACACATTGCATATATTTTTTACATAGTTAAAAAAGCTTAACTTATGAATTTACAAGAAAACATAAAACTAAAAAACAAATACCAACTTATAGTGGAAGGGAAGGTTATTTTTTCTGTTGTATATTCATGATATACCTGGATTAAATCCTTTGGAACATCACCAAATATATGTCTAAACAGTATAAAAAATGGAACACAGTAACCACAAAAAATGTATGATAAATATACAAATGAGAATAATATATATAAAGATGTTTATAGATATGGACATAATGGACAGAGATAGACTATAATAATACTGGTATTGTTATTTCAACAAAATTTAATCATAGACTTCTGGGCAAGATGGTGGCATAAACACTGTGCTCACCTCCTCCCACAACCACATCAAAAGTACAACTGAACTATAGAACAACCATCATTTAGAATGGCCTGAAATCAAGCTGAATGGAAGTCCTACAATTAGGGAATTAGGAGAGGCAGACAGTGTAACAGGCCGGTCACGTACCCATGTGTGGTGGCTAAAAATTGAAAGGGATATCTCAACTATGGAGGTAGCAAATGGGTCCTAGCCCCCACCCAGGATTCCAGTGCCAGGAAGAGAAGTCCCTATAACTTCTGGCTATAAAAACCAGTGGGAATTGAGGCTGAGGGAAACACAGGCTGCTGGAGTCCCAGGCAGTTCCTCTGAAAGACTCTCTCCCTCTGAGCTCCAGCACTGGGGCAGCAATTTGAAGGGCACCAGAGACATATGGTGAGGAACTGAATTGTTGAGCATCAGGGCAAGACCTGTGGGCAGCTTTCTGCCAGACTGGAGTGCTGGCAGAGGCCATTGCTCCTTAGATAAGCCCCTCCCTCCCCCAGCTAGCAGGCAGTTGCCATACTGGAGATTTCATCAACCTGGCTCACACTATTTGCCCTGCCCTGTGGATTCCAAGGCCCCATCCCAGCCAACTTTCAGGCCCATCCAAGCTGTCTCCAGTTACTTTTCCATATGAGTGGTCTGTCTTGGTTAATGCTTCAGACTTTCCTAAAATCTCTCAAACAAGCAGTATCTGGCCTCAGCATGCCCTGTACCTCTTACTAAGTGACCCCAGCCCTGACACTAGCAGCAGCCGGCCTTGGTTCTCAGCTTAGCCTTTCCTGGGTACCTCCAAGCCCCGCACAAGTGTCAGCCACCTACAGATTGCTTTGTAGCAACAGG